GGGGCGTGGTGCCTTTCAAACGCACTGAAGCTATTACGTATCTTTGTATGTATACACACTTTTGCTAGGTTATTTAAGATGGCAATGGAAATATGCCTTCTAAAAACCACCAAACCGTAAAATTAGAAGATAAATGCGTCACTGATAATCATGAACGTAAACTATTGGTGAAAGTGTTGCACCAAAATGTTTCAATACAAAAAATTAGTTTTGGGCGGGACGAAGTTCGCGAAGTCTGCTAGTTATCTATAAAAAAGTGATTAAAAAAAATTGGGTTTTTTCGAGAACTATTTTTAAAATATTTTTCTTTATGACGAGATGGTTTATTTTGTGAGAATCAACAATTTTTTTAATTTTTTTCTTACTTAACTTATGTTAACATATATTTGGTAAGGTGTAAATCATAAGGTTTTTGCAAAAAGTAAAATTTTATTACGGTTTCCGATAGAATACCTATCCAGGTATAATATTTGTACGGCTAGATTTTTCTTGAAGGCGACAAACCCCTAGAAATGGGCGTGGCAATTGTAGGACTAAAATTAGCAAAACACAGATTTTATTGCGGATTTCGTCAGAATATCGCTTCCAGCGTTGCCACAGACAAATTTTTTTTCCTACCAAAATTTCCTACCATAACCAACCAAAACGTACTAAACATTTTTTTGAGTTTTAATATTTGTTTTCAATGTCAAATTTTTTAAAAACATAGTTAACATAACATTTAGTAAAACTAAAACAAAACTAGATTAATATAAACAAATTAACTGCGTATAACGATTCATTTTACTGTACAGACTTATCCATGGGCACATATGTCTCTTTACACATACATACATATCGTCACTAGATACGAATAAAGACGCGAGCTCAAAAGTTGATAGCGAAAAAAGAGGCGTAAAAAACTTTCGGCGAAGAAAGACTCTTAACATAGGTGACGGCAAATAAAGCCGCGTTAACCTCCTTGACAGCGAAGAAAGACCCGCGGTCAACTATATTTTCGAGTGCAACAGTATTCCCCAGAACTCCCCAAAGAGTTTTTCCGAGCTCTTTATTCGTATCTAGTGACGATATTATTATTATTACGTCGAAGATACCCGCTCTGCGACCTAAGAAGTTATATTGTGCTAAATCCAAATTGTAATTACTCCAACCTTAGGCTATTTAAGAAGCTCAGCACTTTGGATGAGGCCATGTTCCAAATTTTAGATGGAGAAGGCAATCGTTCTCCAAGGTGTATCAATCTACGATTCATTCTTCGTGGACAGGCACATAGAATATACTCTGGCGTTTCTTTCACCAGCCGACAAACCCTACAGTCCGTCTCTACAGAAAGACCCATTTAATTAAAACCGTACGTTAACTTGCAGTGTGCTGTCAGGTTGCCAGTAAGAGTTCTAAGTTCAAGGTGTCTTTCGGAGTTCCTGCTGGAAAGAGTTATGCATATCTTTGATTATCTTATTCCCTTTGACTTCCGCCAGTAGGCAGCAATTTGAGATTATTCCCAGCTAGCTCCTAAGTAGGTCTGCAGTGTATCCTTTAGATGTACCACAGAAAGGCTAGGGACCATGCAAACGCATTTGGGCTTCACGCTTTGCGAGACAGTCAGCCCTTTCGTTGCCTTCAAACCCTTCATGCGTGACGCTATTTTGCGCTCGCGGGTGGTTCAAAAGTTTACAAGCCTTGATGCCATTTTAAAAGACTCTAAGGCCTTTAACGCTGCCTGAATGTCCGACATAATATTTATTCTGGCCTCATTTGCCTTCTACGATGACATTCGCGAACACAGACTTCGATTGGGAAGACTTCCGCCTGAAATATGGTTGAGTACGAGCCCATTGGCAGACTTTTCTGGAAACTTGGTCCAAGTACTCCATAAATTATATCGCTACCTAAANTATTTATTCTGGCCTCATTTGCCTTCTACGATGACATTCGCGAACACAGACTTCGATTGGGAAGACTTCCGCCTGAAATACGGTTAAGTACGAGCCCATTGGCAGACTTTTCTGGAATCTTGGTCCAAGTACGCCATAAATTATATCGCAGGTGACAGGTAATACGAAACTACATCGATTTTTCGTCTCTCTTGAACAATTTTTAAAAATGGATTTGGCACCTTTTCACCCTTAGGTCACGATATATGGATGTCCGTATTGCATATTGGCAATAATAACGTTTGTACTTGGGAATCAGGTATATTTACATGTTTGTGGCCGCCATTATACGAACGCACCGGTGAAATATTTGTTGAAATAAGGTTGCTAAAATATTTGGAGATATGTACGTACATATTTTCTATTTTTCGCAAATAACTATTACTCATTGTCCCGAAACCTACCAAAATCCAATCAAGCCTACCTACCTACCAAATGGAAAAAAACCTACCAGTTTTGGTAGGAAAAGCCCATGTTTGGCAACACTGGTCGCTTCGTTACCATAATGAGATACAATGATTTTTCTTGCTCTAACTTACTCTACTTTTTATTTTATGGGCCTGCTCTAAGAGCAACTAGAAGCGCGATTTTCAGCACGAGTTTTTTGTTGGAGTAACTTAGAGCAAGGAATAAAAAGTTTCTGATAGAACCAGCTGAACCAGAGGAAGCTCAAGAGGCAAGTAATAAAATTTTTTAGAAATTCTCGAGAGTATCATAGCATAATGTGCTCTCGACAATCTAGCGACGAGAATGTCATCCATCACCTCCTTATATATTATAATAAACTAATCAGAAATTTGCATTTAAAAAACACTAATAACAGAACTAATGGTTTGCCAGATGATGCTAAAAGTTACTGAAAGCAAATTAGCAAGCTTACTATGTACTATTAGTTTAAAGATTAAAAAAATAAAAAAAAAGTTTTCTTATATTCTTTTTATTCCATGATTAACCTGAGTTTCTTATCGTTTGATTCCAGACTTTTTTAAATGATTAATTTCACGTGAATTAGAGGTTTTTTTCTCCAATCACAACATATACACTGAGGGAAAAAAATATTAAAATCAAATAGTAACGTAATTGATCTTACTATAAACGTCAACGAAGGTATTGTATATTGGTAAATATTCAATTCAATTACGCGCATATTAAAATGACCGCGTTCGTTCTGAAAAAGCATCCATGAAGTGAATAATCAAGACAAAAACTAAAAAAAAAATATTTAACTTGCATGTTTTGCCTGCAGTGGAATTCGAACCCTGACCATCTCTGGATATCAACAAATTGTGGCATGCATCTTTCCGCACTCAGCTACACCCAGCCATATAAATTTGCTTTCAAATGTTGAATATCCATCAACACTACAGCACGCGAACATTTTTAAACGATAATCAAATATATGGTATTCATTTTTACTATGCATTATTTCCCTCAGTGTATTTTGCGGAAATTCTTTACTTTTTGGTAACATAGACGTTTAGCTATTAACTATTGCATGATCAGCGACTAGGATAACCTATAAAGCCTTAGTTTAATAAATGTTTAAAATTTGTTTTAGTGTTTGTCCGCCATCTTTGATCCGCCATTTTTACTTTTGTAAATCCTATATAAGATTCGTACTCAGCGACTATACAAACCCCAGAGTAACGTGATTCAAGCGAATCTCGCCAATTTTAAATTTTTGGTTGCCATATTGGATCGGCAACGTGTTTCAAGCGAATCTCGCCAATTTTAAATTTTTTGTCGCCATATTGGAATTTTAATAATTTTATTTTTATATGCATTAATTTTCTTCACTTTTAATTTTACAAAAGAAAACAAGTATGAATGAGCACCATTTTGTTCGTTTTTTAGGAATATTTCTCTGTTATATCAAATATTATGCCAACACTTGAATTTATACCAATTCAAGTGGATATTCTCCCACTGTGCGTCACGGCTTTCCAGTTATTTTATTAAGAAAACCCGTTATTTTCGTACTTGATGCACTTATCTATTAAGAGATGGACTATTTTTATCCGCTTTTAAAATATGCAGTATTTATCTAAAATTAGATTTATTTTCAAATAAATTGGTACCTCAATTAATGAATTGCATAAAAATTGTCGAAGTTAATTTATTTAAGTAGAAATAGTATAGTAGTAGTATAGGCTGGGTCGATTTTATATGGGGGAAAATAAACGTAATTTGATTGTATTGTAATAGTAATATTAAGTATGTTGTTTTAGGACTAAGAAAGTAATAATTGGCCACAAGAGATTAAATTGAAGTATATCTTTAGCCCGCGCAATTGGTGCAAAAGATCAAATTTTTGAAAAAGTAACTTTGGTTTCTAATATCTAGGGAATACGTTAACCGATTGAAGCAAACGATATATCAGAATATAAGTTATACAATTTAGTATGTCGCGTTCATATGCCATTTTGCCATAAGACTTCAAATCGCCGATATATTTTGAGGGAACACGCAAAAAATAATCTTTTCTCATACATACAAATTTTTGTTATATCGTTACTTCAGTAACCCCGTGAATTAACTTGAAAAGTGGCCCGAGGATTATTTCCAACGATTTGGGTTTTTGTATGTCTGTATTATATTTATAGGACCATATGGTCCTTAAGTTAACTGCAAAGCATATATCAGGTCTTGTGATTTGCGAAGTATAAAGCAGACACCCTACAGCTTGCATGTAAGGTACTTCAGCCAGTTCAGCCTTCTCAGCTTCCGATTTTGGACACATCTTCAAAGTCAATTTCTGGTTGACGTCCAGTGGTGTAGATATGGGATGGCACGAGTCCATGCCAAACCGCTTGAGAACATCGGCAATGAAACTATTTCGACTGACCAACTTTGACGACATCATTTGCCGCATCTCGTGTTACTCGCATACCCAATACCGATGTGGCTTCGCCCATGTCTTTCATTTTAAATGAATTCATCAGACTTGCTTTTAGGTTCTTAATTTTTTGTAGGTTTTTGCAAAATATCAAAACATTGTCAACATATATAGCCACAAACAGCATTTCATTGTTAGTATTCGAATGATAGATGCATTGGTCTGCTTCGCTTCTAATAAGTCCAAAACTTAGAAGGACATTATTCAATTTTTCATTCCAAACCCTACTGGACTGCTTCAGGCCATAAAGGGATTTTTTTAAATTATCATCGAATCCAATGGGTTGCAACATATAAAACTCTTCTTTCAGGTCACCATTTAAGAAAGCGGTGACAGCGTCCATTTGATGTATGGCTAAGTGAAATTTTGCGGAAAGGGCCAAAAGAAGTCGCAACGATGTATACCGCACGACCGGCGCAAAGGTTTCTTCATAGTCGATTCCCTTCTTCTGGCTGTATCCCTTTACCACCAATCTAGCCTTATGTCGGACTGCTTCACCATATGCGTCCACTTTGTGTTTATACACCCACTTGCATGGAATAGCCTTCTTTCCTGGTGGTAGTGTTGTGAGCTCCCACGTCTGGTTAGCCATGTGAGACGACATTTCATCTTCAATAGCTGAATTCCATAATTCTGCGTTTTTGCATGTTGATGCTTCATCAAATGTTTGGGGTTCTTCAAAAATATAATATTGCGCAAAAATTATAGTCTGGACGTAATTTATTCTCAATCCTTTTAGATTGACGTACCTGGATTTCATCTTTTGGTGGTAATTCACTCACATCACATCTCTCTTCTGAATTGTCAACTGTTTCATGATCATCATGGCTGCTGCCGTCGTCTGGGGCATCTTTCAAATTTGGCACATCATTTGACGGCGAATCTAAACACTCTATTCTCCCCTCTGAATCGACGTCACATTCAATCGGCTGCAACATTTTTTAGCAAAATAGTCTTCTCACCTTCCAAACATACTACGTCGGACAGTGGTTCGGATAGCAGATCTAGCTGGACGAAAGTAAAAATTTTTTTGTTTTAAAATACTTAATGGTACTTGGAATACATTCCTGACAATACATTCAAATAGAAATTGCATTTATTAAAGCATTAACATATGAAAACAAACAAAAAAAGGTAAGTCAACGCCGCCTATTTGAGAACTCTATTTTAAAAGCTGAAATTTAACTTAAAAGACTGCTAATTGCACTCACAAATATTTGCATAATTGCAAATTGACTTTATAAACAAAAAATTACACTTATTCCGCTATAGATTCTGGGGTCATAACGCAATTTATGTCCACATTGGTATAAGCAAATTTATTCTGAAAAATCGTCGTTTTGATTAATTAAAAAAATAAATTAAAGAGTAGGAAAAGTAAAGGCCGGCGAAGGCCGTTATAAAACCACTTGCATATTATTATTTACACCTTTCGCAAATGCAGAGGGTAAGTTCGATAACCAAGTCTAACCAATTGGCTTAGATATTTACATTTTAGTGACGGTATGTCAAATTTCAATATTCAAAAGTAATTATTAACAGGAATGTATCTGAATATAAGTATAAGATCAGTGGCGGATCCACGGGGGAGAGCGGGGGAGGGGCTGTGTGTTAAAACAGAAAAATACTTGGAGTTATAAAACCTTTGGTTATGTAAGAGTTAAAAAAAATAGTACCTCGCGAATTTTCTGCTTTCTGAAATTAAAAAATTATACAACAGGCATGCAAATCTTTAAGCGCTGTTATAAAATTTTTTCTGAAATTTATTTGTGTTTCTTGCTGTGATCTTAAATTTTAGTCATGGTAAATAAAATCTTAAGAAGTGAGTTGTTTGACATTTGGTGTTGCTGAAACTTCTAAAAGACAACAAGGTGTCCGTGATTATGTGATTAGTAAATTGAAAGAAATATCTGATGAAAATGCTCGTTCCGAAGTAAATAAAGTAAATTAAGTAAATGACTTTAGATTCGTAATCAGCAACCCAGAAAATCCCCAGATACCCAGTTACATAGAAATCTACCGATTTTTTTAAATTTTCGTCCGCCATATTGGATCCGCCATTTTGAATTTTTGATAAGTGACTTCAGATTCGTAATCAGCGACTCAAAAATCCCCTAGGTAAGAAGTGGTGTAAAGATCCATCAACGAGTATTTGTTTAAATAGTTTCGTCCAGCTAGATTTGCGATCCGAACCACTGTGCGTCGCGGCTGGTAAAAATTTTGTTAGTATTGATATTAAGCAAACGGTAAGCCTTGACATTGTTGCTATACCCCCAAAACATGCGCTCTATTGATTTTGCAGAAAATTTGCTTTTCCGTTTTTGTCTCGGTATATGTGCTAAGGCTTTGCACCCAAATACCTGCAGATGCTTCAAATCCGGCTTTCTGCCCGACCATAGCTCTTCCGGACACTTTGCACTACCTTTGCGTGAAATGCGATTAAGTAAATAAGCAGTTGTGGTTGCAGATTCTTCCCAGAACTTTTCTTCAAGGCCAGAGTCCAAAAGCATGCATCTTACTCGTTCCGCTATGGTGCAGTTCATACGCTCAGCCACGCCATTTTGCTGCGGGGTGTATGAAGTTGTCGTTTGGTGTACAATTCCACATTTTCTGAGAAATGTCTGCATTCTATGGTTTACGTACTCCGCTCCGTTGTCCCATCGCAGAATTTTTATGCTTCGCGGACATTGCTTTTCAACCAGATTCTTAAATTTTACGAGCTCCTAGTATACCTCAGAAAACGACTATACGTTGAGTGGTCCCAGTACATCGGAAGATCGTAAAATTTGACTTGTCAGCTGATTTGAAGATTATGCCGTTGCTTGCGCTTTTCGTTTCATTCAAGAGTTCTCTGCTAATGTGGCCAAGCCAGTGCACGGAATTCAAAAAAATTAAAAGTGGTAGATTTTACATACAAAAATTGGTAGAAGTTGGTAGATTTTTTTAAAAGAAACAATATTAGATAGTTTTTACTCATATAGAATAAAAGAAGGCGAATTCAGGTAAGGTAGTGTTATCAGAGCAGCTGGATTTTCGCCTTGGTGATTCTTATTGTCAAAATGATGTATTTGTTGAAACTATTATTGTAATTACGCGTAAAATTTGTTAGTGGCCGTTTTGTTTTTGAACTTCTGGTATCACCTTATATGAATTCACCTTGTATTTTACGTACGGTTGCCAGACGTATTGATTTTATCAGTACAGTACTGATTTTTCAACTCTTGTACTGATTCTATTCACTTCTTCAATCAGTACGCTAAAGTCCTGATTTTTTAAAATTCGTACTGATTTGTACTGAATTTTCTATTAAAAAAAAAAAATACTTTAGTATTTTCTTAAGGTTTTTACATAACGTTGGAACTTCCTTAAGCTGTACTGTAAAAAATAAGAAGAATATAATTTAATTATAGTTGACATGTTTTAGATAATGTTTGATATGCCCGAGAAATTAATACAACAAAAAGATTAATCGTTTTATGGGCATATCGCCGGGTCGTTACATACCAGTTGCGATAATATGATGGAGCTTAAATTATTAAAAAAGAAGGCTTACATTTTTGTCGAGTGTTGTTAGTTATCTCGAAAATAACTTTCAGTTTAATAACAATAAATTTCAATATTCGAATGGCTTTTGCCTATAACTTACAACTCCTTTTTCTCAATTTACTGACTCTGTAAAAGAGTTTTACATACAAGACATAGAGTTAGATACTCTTTTTAGCGAATTCTTAGTCTCAAAGTTTTTGCGTAGTTGAAAAATTCTTTAAGCCATGAGGAAATATAGATGAACTCCTTAAAAATTGGTACTTTTTTACAGTATGAGAGGATCTTAAGAATAAAGTTTGTTTCCTGGCGCAAAGAGAGAAACCGGCTTCTAATTAAATTTTTTGAAGGTGAACTTCAAATTAAAAGTAATTTTAAAATGAAATGTATAAAATTCTTTGACTATTTAAACACTGAAAATGGGAATGATCTCATTATTGCTATTCAAAAATGTCATAAATATAAAATAATTTATTGGCTCCTGTGTATCGTACGCTCATGTTAAAATGAATAACATTTTTTTTATTTTATGAACTAATAGTGAACCCGTATGGCGTTTTTGTTTAAAATATTTTTTTTTATAAAAAAGGAATTTTTCATTTTAAATGTTTTTTTCTCAGATTTGTACATACGAAGTATACAAATTGCATATCAGAAGAAAGCGGGTTTAATCACGTTTACGGCGATATAAATTTTTAAAATCAGTTTAAACTTGTGTGAAATATAAGGTTTTTAATTTTTCGAACCTTTAACCCCTTTATAGCACCTGTAACATAGAAAAAGTTATATATCGTTTAAGTAAGAGAAAAAGGCGTACCACGTCTATGTTTTTACTTTTTAGTTTTTTTAGTTTAGTAGTTTACATACAGTAATTAAAAATAATTTTTTACCAAAGGTCCAATTTCGAACTTCGAAGGCCCATATCTCGATTTTGGAGGCTAACTTCGAAAAAAGGAGATACTACTTTTTTACCTATGACTCAATCTTTTAAAAAAATTGGTTTGGTCCAATACCCAGAAAAAAAGTTGATTTTGCGTACAGTGTTATTGCTATTCAAAATGTCACAAATATAAAATAATTTATTGGCTCCTGTGTATAATGATGTGTACAATCATGTTAAAATGAATAACACTTTTAGTTTTTATGACCTATATTTTATTTATATACCAAAATATATAAATTAAATAAAAATGTACTGAAAAGTACTGATTTTTTTAGCATGAAAAAGTCTAATGATACTGATTTCGCGCATAAAAAATCTGGCAACCCTAATTTTACACCAATAAAACATTCAAGAAAAAACGTAAAAATGGGCCCGAATCATGGCATCCGTGACAAGGAAACACGATTCGAATCGAATAAAATAAAATGACAGCCGTTTGTCTTAAATATATTTTAAGCTGAAAAAGCAAACTCGCCACCAAATGCCGTAATCCAATAAGAAATTTCTATTCTTTATTATTATTCTATTTAAAAAAAAAAAAAACACAATTTCTCTGCACTACAAAATTGTTTGATAAAAATTAGTTTTGAAATGCTTGAAATTTGCAACCCATTCATTTGGCAGTCTGCTACACAAAGTATTGCAAACGAAAAATATTTCCATAAACAGCTGATAGAGATAGGGCTGCCAGATATCTCTGTTGCCAAACCGGGACACTTTAGTGGAGGGCCTCTCGCTCCCTTCTCTTTCATTTCGACGTGCGAAAGGATGTAGTAAAATTTTATTTTGACAGACAAAAATAAAAACATAAAAACATGAGATCATGAGATCATTACAACGTACGCCAACAAAACAAAACAACTTATCACAACTAAAGCACAGAGAATTTTTCACAATGCATGAATCTTTTTTTATTCTTTATAAAAATACAGTTTATAGTAAATATATGAAAAAACATAAAAATAAAATTGTTAAACTTTGTGCTAATCTCGGGAAAATTCAATAAATTTGCATACAAATTTGCAACATTCTAATCAGACTTTTTATAAAATTTTTTAAAATTAAGTTTTGCAGCCCATTAATTAGTTGATTTTTGGTATTGTTTTTACTGAACGTTTCTTCTATACAAACTATGTTCGATAATTATTTTTATATGGAAGACACTGTCAGCAAAAAACTATAAATGCTAAAAATCAGCGAAAGTTGCTGGCAACTTCAGACTTGCAACTTTATTAATTGGCTCAAAAGCTACATTTTCAAAATTTTTCTAAAAGATCTGATTAGAAATTGTGATCTGATGAAAGAGCCTCCGAGCCAATAATTTTGTACGGCACTGTACTTATAAGTACTCCAGGATTCATGAAATAAAAAAATTTAAGTACAAGATAACTATAAAATGTCAGTCATATTTGTGAACTTGTTTCAAAACTTCTGTCTTTTCCTTAATATAATTGTAAAACTCTGTGGACGTAATTTTGAACGTATTTAGGTACATATACTAATCATCAACT